AGTGTGTGTTCACTGCTGTGTGTGTGCACTTAGGATGGGTTAAATGCAGAGCACTAATTCCAAGTATGGGTCACCATACTTGGCCACATGTCACGTCACTTTCGGCCTGTCATGGATAAATAATGATGACAATAAAACCGCCAGTAGGTGGCAGCAATGTTTTAATGATAATAATTTATTGAATCATTCAAATCAAACGATTCGTTCAAAACGGCTGATTCAATTAGAAACGAAACAAGTGAGTCCATCTGAATGAACTGTTCACTGGCTCACTCGATTCGTTCAAAATCGGATTCATTCAAGGAACGAAACACCGTGTTGCTATGCACTGACTGTTGTATAAAATTAATAGCACATTTGTGCTCGCGCACTTGTGCTGATATTCAGAAAAGTACATTGCATGTGCAATGAATATAAAAATGTAAAAACTCTGTATTCTAACAGGCTTCATCGCGCAGTGAATTCTTTTGGACTCTCAAGACGTGTTTTTGTTTGTTTTTTTGCAAAGTCGGTGACTCGATAATGTCAGCTGTACTATCGTCTCTCAATTCCTCACAGTCACACATACAGCACGAGTACATAATGTCGGGGAATGTCTTTAAATTATAATCAAGGAAAAAGCATACCTTTTCTGTCGTCTTCTTTTTAAAGAACTTCAAAAGTTGCGTCTGAACCTTTTTGCGCGGAAAATGACGAAAACTCGCTTCCGCTTGTGAGCAGCTTGTTACAGTACCGAGTTGGCCAATCGCCGCTAATTAGTTTGTGAATTATCATAAGTAAGAGTATTTTAACATTTCATTTGCATGATAAGTTTTACATAATACACATTATTACTCTAGGGGGATGGTGTTTTTTTACCAAGGGGATGCTTTTTGTCATTTTTTTCAACCAGGGGGATGCTATCCCCCCTCATGGCTGCCCACCGGGATAGAAAAACATTACACACATCTCACACACGAGAGACTGCAGGAAATACATGTCACGTTTAAATAGAACTTTTATTTACAACAATATCAACATCAAGTAAAATAATTAAGTGTATTGTCATTTACATCCTGTAAAATGTGAGCTTATCTTCCATGTTCACACCCCTCAGTCAACCAGTTCTGAAAACACACCAGAATAACCTCAATTTCCCGGAATTATCATTTCAAAATATACTTTGTCACAACCAACAGTAACCTAGCGAAATGAACACAACTGATAG